ATGTCAGAGAACCAAACAGTAAGTTATCATCCTTTGAAAATATCTTAAGCTCAATTCACATTCCAACAATTATTAAATTTAAACTCAAACTCTCAAAATTCATTTAAAAGTTAATAACAATAATGAATCCTTTAAAACTAATATTAATAACTGCCAATTTCATTGAGAAAAGATATTGACTAATCAGAGCATGGATAACTTAGTAACCTGACCAACTTATCCTTTTTCCTTAAATTAACTAACGATAGAATTTTATAACAAGAGTATAATGTTATAAATAAACTACTGCATCTACCTAGTAGTCAAATCAAAAATAAGAAATATTGGAATAATAATCATTAATGCACAATATTATAATATAAACAATTGGAAATACTTCCACTTAAAACTCAGAAACCAGTATATTGATTCCACAACCTTAGAAAACTAATATAGCCATCAATAGAATTATAGTAAAAATTCAAACAGAAGGACATCCGGTATAAAGCAAAAGACTTGGAACCTGTGCATATCTTAGCGCATATGTATATATATATATATGCGTCGTATGGCAAATTCCAAGGCACATGAACTACATAAACACATATAATTAATAAAATTAAATTCTTTTCCAATTAAAAATATTATACGGAATTAAAGATTATATGTTCCTCTTTGGTATCTGAATGAACTTACTCTCGCATCATCCTTACACCTAATTAATTTTCAAAAACAAACATCTTTGTTGCGATGTCAATCAACCACCTGTGTGTGTGGATGTGTGTGTGTGTGGGTGTGTGGATGTGTATGTGTGTGTGTGTGTGGATGTGTGTGTGTGTGGGTGTGTGGATGTGTATGTGTGTGTGTGTGTGGATGTGTGTGTGTGTGGGTGTGTGGATGTGTGTGGGGGTGTGGGGATGGGTTGGTGTATTTTTCGCAAAGTACGTGTCAACTTCTTCTGCTATCGGCAACATTAAATGCATAATAGATATATCGGAAACACGAAATATATATATATAAATATAAATACAATATATGTGTGTGTGTGTGTGTGTGTGTGTGTGTGTGTGTGTGTGTATATTTATATACAGTGATGGGAAAAAGTTCCGGAACGGTGAAGTATTTCAGCGAATTGCATTTTTTTGGGAAAATGTTAAATACAGAAGTTTTAGGATTTTTTCCTGGCTATCTAATGGTGATACTGAATTCGACCTTGACTACAACTTTGAAGGTCATTTCAAAGTCAAGTTCACTTTTTTAAATGGGAACCGCTATTTTTTATTGCGCATTTGGAAAGAGCGGGAAATTTTACGTCAGAACATGACCTTGACCATAACCTTGAAATCAACGTCAAGATCATTTCAAGCTGAAAGTTCCAAAAGTCCTGGTACGGCAAGAATATCTCGGCGAAATTGCGGGAAAATGTTCAATACGAAAGTTTCATAATTTTTTCCCTGGCTATGTACGTTGTTTGTTTAACACACAATTTCAACAT